GCCTGAACGTTGTCATAGAGGCAGGAATAGCAGAAGTTTGATTTTATTAAGCACATGAGATAATAAAAAAAAGCTTTTCTTTATTCGAGCTGTAAATGTTCCACACACACGGTAGCTAAAAATCTCCAGGGGAGAAGAAAATTAAAATTTGAATAATTGGTGAGAACTGTGTGTTACAGCTATTGTTGATATCATCAACTTTTACTGTCTGCTCAGTAAGTAAATGGTTTAGGTGCTGAGCTGTTAAAAGTCCTGTAGAGAAAATTGCAACATGAAAATTCAACTTGGACTTGCAGTTTTGCAGTGCAACAAGCTCCTCCAGCTTTTTTGCTGCCAAAAGGAAACAACTGCTGCTTCCGGGTACAGCGAAAGTGTCACTTGTTCAGCTTCAGTGCCAATTTAACTGTATTAGTGCATTTATCTGCATATCAACATAATTTTGAAACAGTAATACTGCAAGTCTGAAATCATGGTCTCACTTGTGTTCCTCATCAGAGCTGAGTCTTTGCAGGCCAGTAGAAACAGACTGAGCAGGGCCCCATGGTGCCCTGTGGTTTCCAAATGCTGCTCCGACGCAGCGGCTGTGGGAGCAGTTCATCTGCTCCCTCTGGAAAGGGCCAGAACAGAGTGACTCGGTGGCACTCAGACCTCAGACAAGCTGCACACTCGCTGAGTTAGTATTTGCTGTATCTGAACAGTAATGCTTTCTCTGTCCCTATTTTTCTTCTTCCTATTATAACTACGGAATGCTGATCATGTATTCTGCGATCTGACCGTGATAACTGCTGCTCAGAGAAGGCTGGGGTTTAAGCCTTTAAATCACAGGAGCTAAGCTTTAAGTTTCACTCTGACAAAGTAAAAAATCAGCGAACGAGCCTGATGTTACCTGTCTGCTGCAACCAGTTGTTATAGTTCTTCTAACCAGGAATAATTCTCTTTTTTAGCTGAAACAAAAATCTGCTTCAAGTACTACCATGGCGTGAGTGGAGCACTGCGAGCCACAACCCCCAGTGTCACGGTGAAAAACAACGCGGCTCCCGTAAGTTATTGCCAACCTCTTTATTTTCATAAACCTTCCCTACTGTCACTCTCCCATGCATTGCTTTCCTTGCCTGGTTTGTATACTTTTGCATTAAAATTGAGCATAATGTTGCTTTTAAATGAGCTGTAGTACACTGGAGTGGATAGCCTTTTTAGTTAAACATGGATTTGTAGGCCAAGGGGACTTGGCTTCAGCTCTCAGCTTTGTGGCAAAGGTCCCCCTTTGCCACAGGGGACCTCCGTGCTTTTGGGCAAGTCCCACATCCCAGCTCTAAACACTTCTGTTAAATGATCTTCTCTGTACTGGATGTTGTGAGGCACAGCTGATGGATTTGGGTTCCTTGGATTGAAAATACCATAAGTGTCTGGGAAAGGAAGTTTATTTTACTATTTTAAGGTGCATTTTTCAAAATTGAGAAGGGATAATTTTCACAGCCACCCTTGAATTTCAGAATCAGATGAAACTGATTATTTCAGAAATATCAGTGGCAAGGTGTGGGCATTTAGGCCCTGATCCAGCAAAGTACTGAAGGTCATTTTGATAGACTAAAGTTTCACTGAAAGCAATTTTGATTTGCTAGAGCAAAACATCAAGTGGATCAAATGGCTCTTGAAAAGCTATATAACTTGCCTGGTTTTAGAGAAGTTAATCCCCGTAAGAATGTAATTTTTTAGAAGCCCAGTGAGAGACTTGCTGATTGCGAGAGTTTCACTGCCTGCCAGTGCCAGTCTTGTCAGGGAGCTGTGTAAGCTTTGGACAAAGACTAGCTCTGATGCTGTTTATCATGAAAACTGAGTTCAGGAAAGGCCTGTCTTCACTGAAGGTGTATCTAGATTTTAGCAGATAGCACTGAAGCTTAAATTTTAAAAGTTATCTTTGCCCTCTTTTGATGAATTGGAATTCAGCAGCAGCTAGAAATGGAGTGCTGGGTAGGAGCTGTTGGTGCATCCTTCAGGAATAAAATACATTTATGTCTCAGTGATGTGCTTCTATCACATGCTCAAAGTGAAGCCATTCACCTGTGTGGAGCTGTACAAAATTCTTTTCTGTCTTCAGAAGTCTGATGTGACTTTGAATATTTTATGGCAAATTCAAAGTTTGTAGGATGCTGAAAAGTACATCTGTGAGCTGACTTGGGAATAACCATTCATTTCCTGGTTAGCATCAGTTTGGGGGGACCTTCTACATCCTTGGTTTGAGCACCAGTTTTACCTGCAAGATAAACCAGGCAACCAAAACAGTAAATACCAATAGGCTGAAAGCGCAGAATAATTCTTTTTTATGATTCATGTCTATGTCTCAGACTTGAGTTTGAACAGATTAAATCAAGTTGACAAGTCTAGTGTGGAAGGACAACTGTTTCCTTATTAAATGTCAGCAGTGTGTTTTAAATTAGCACAAAAATGCCTGAAAGTCTGCACCTTCATTTTAAGTAGGTAATCCAATCTAATCCAAGCTCTTTTCTACATGTTTGGGAAAAAAATGGCCTTCAGCAGCCATTCATTTTTAGCCGAATAGAAGGACTTCCCTTTAAAAGAAGAGTCTTCTTTGTCTAGAAGTTGTAATCAGCCTTGAGATTGGGTGAGCAAAAGAAAATCCTATTGTGACCTTCAACTGTACATGACTGAAAAATAAGATGTTATGAAAAGTAATATCAGGTAATAGTTTTCCATTTGAGGGTCAGAACAGTGTCCCTGGAAATAGCATTCTCTTCCTTTCCAGATAACAAAGACATGTACACCTATTTTTTCTTGCCTTTCTATGTCCCAGAATAGTATGTGTGCTATGCAGACGTGGAGAGACCAGCAATATTGTAGATGTGTCATCAGTTCCTCTGCTGTTGTCTGACCACAGAGGGCTGCATGACATATATATTTGGTGCATGGTAGCACAAATGCTAAGAAATGAAGACAATAAAAGCAAAGGAATAGCAACCAGTTCATGCACTTTGAGCCTAGGTGACCCTCCTGTATGAATGCAAGAGGAAAAAATGCTGTATGAGTATACAGAGAAATAGTAGGCTGCTGCTTCTGTGTATCAAGGTTTTTAGCTGGCTAAGCTCCTTCAGTCGCTAATCCCAGCAGAAGCCATCAGATGTTTTTGTCCATCTGGCTCTCAGCAGTACCTGTGTAACTTTTATTACCAGAATATCTGAATGCTTCATGGTGCTCTGCACCCCTGGAAAGTGGTGCTATTCCCAGGGAAAAGATGAGGAGGTAGAAGATGAGGGGTTTGCCCAGCCACGCAAAGTGCAGATACTGCCCTTAGAGCTGCACACCAAGGGACCCTTGCTTTTTGCATGCCATTTCACTGATTCCATAATAGCGATTCAATGAGAAGGTCTGGTGGAGAGAGGAAATTTGGGAACTATTAGGCTGTGGGGTTTCTTTTTTCCCTTTTTTTTTTTTTTTTTTTCTTTTAAAGCCCCAGTTTTCATAGAAGGGGGAAAAGTTACAGCTCAGGCTGCCTGCTTTGAAGGAGACTTCCAACACTGGAGAAGGGAAGCTTTCAGAAGAGACCAGGAGTTCAATGATTCCAGACTCATGCATTTTGAGTGGAAGGAGAAAATGTAAAATAAATCCAAATATAATCTGCTAAATCTATTTTAATTGTCCTAAACAGAGGTTTCGAACGACGACCAGAAAGTTTTCCTCCAAAAGAGCAAGGAGCTATTCGGTGAGAACCAGGACCTTGCAATGCTTTTTGTGCACCAGCAGCTCAGCGGAGGATGCTCCTCTTTCCTTCCCGGTGCTGCTGGGTTCCTCCCCATGCCTTCGTAGACATTCCCCGATGAAGAACATTGAGTGGGCAGCCTCAGCTTATTTTTGGTCTCTGAATCATAATCTGAGAGTGGCAAAGCAGGCAGCAGTTGTTTTGTTTTCTCTTTTCCTCTATGTGATCAAGTCAGGCCTGTGACAGTCTGCTCCATTCACTGAGCTTGCCTGAGCTCCTTGAGACTTCTTATCCTCGGGAGACCTGACAGACAGAGCCCCCGTTAGCAAACTCAACACAGCAAATTCCTCAGTTGTTCTCATGGCCGACGTGATTCCCGGCACGGCCCCAGGGTCACGGACGTGGCATTGCTCCCACTGCCAGCTCTGCTTCTCCGACTGGGTTGGCCTTGATGCAGCTCTTTCTCAGAAAGCCCATTCTTCAGGCCCTTGCGCAGGTCCCAGGGGTGGTTTCTTTTTTTTTTTCCCCCTCCTGGAAGAGGCAATCCTGTGGTCGATCCTCGCTCAGATCCTCCCTGACTTTTCAGTCATCAGGAGTTTCAGCTGCAGCTAAGGGAGCCCTCAGTGTGTTGTCAGAAATCATAGCTTTACCAGGGGAAAATCTCCTGCTGTGGCTGTAGCGGCTGAAGGTTTCTGAAAAGCTCATTCCCCTTGATCTGTAGGGAATGTTGCCTTTGCAGTAACAGTGACACAGATGTCCCCCGAAACCAGGGCTGTCGCTAGAGGACGGGGGCAGCCGCTCTGTGAGTGTGACACAGGCAACCCTCCTCATGCGGCATAGCTTGGGAAAAGGGTTGGGAGCAGGCGTCTGTCAGGGAGCAGCACTGGGCACAGGTGGCCTTCCCAAGGCTGTTCCTGCTGCTCCTGCTGGCTCTTGGCCCAGGCAGAACCACCCGAGCGGGTCAGGCCTTGGGCAGCCTCCTGTCTGGTGAGGAGCCCTGTGAGCTCCAGCGCGCAGCAGCGTGTGGAGAAGCCCAAGGTCTCTCTGTCCGCCTGTCTGTGCTTTTCTACTTGGGAGCGGGGCAAAGGAACTAGGAATGGCTGTGCTGGGGGCTGGAAATCCACGTTTACACGCTACAGGGAGAGTGTTTAACTGGCAGTGAGAAGGAAGCCTGCTTCCAAAGAGAAAAACATTGCTATATTAGCTGGATGTCTTTGTGCGGCACTGACTGTGCTCCAGGCTCAGGAACGTCGCCCGTCTCCGGTGCTGGGAATGTTCCGCTCCATTTGAATCGGCCTCCCCAGCCCCTCCCCGTCGCCCGCCGGGTGGGATGCCCTGCGGCCGGGCTGTCCGCGCGAAGCCCTGTCACGTCGCGTGGCCCAGGAGGCGCCACGAGCAGCCTGGCTCTGTGGGGACGGGGGGCTCCGCGCTTCGCCCGCTCCCCTGCGGCAGGAGCTGCCAACGGGAGTTTAGGGCAGGGAACAGCCCTGCGAGCAACGGCAGCGAAACGGAGCGCCTGCCACTCGGAAAGCAAGGAGCATCTTGGCTGCCTTGGATTGGTTTTGCTGGGGTTTTTTTTGGCTTATATAAAACATTCTTGTTTAGGTACAATAGTTTCTACTTGTATAATCATAGCCTTTTCCTTGGTATAGGTGAGCTGAGCCATTTCTTCAGCAGAAAAACACATTTTATGGCATCTAAAACTCTTTGTTACCTTTTAATCTAGTCATAATGTTGTAGGGGAAAAATGAACATTTGTTTTTTAGGAAAAGCTGTACCTTCCTAGGGGAAAAAAGCAGGTTGTGTGAAAATGGTTTAATTCAAACATGGCTCTTTGGCAGGAAGATCAAGCAGGCACAAGAGCAGGATACTGAGTGAGAAAAAACCTTTTCCCCAAAGAGTTTATAGCCTAAAAAGATAAATTGGCTACATCACAATTAAAAGACAGTAAGTGGAGAATCAATGTTTTAGCCTTAGGACAAATGTCTCTGCTAAATTGGGCGCATTCACTAGCCGTGTGTTAGATGCAAATAGCGACGGTTAATCGAACCTCTGGAGCTTTTGTGCCACAATTTTTGTCTCACAGGTCATTATGGCACTCATCAAATCCACTCAGCAGCGTGGGGAAAGCTTTGTAAATCGGAGCTAATTACTGGAGGAGACCCTCCCCATGCCATGTTTACGTGCAAACACGGCCTCTGCTGGGTTTCCCATAGCAGTGATTACTGCTCGATAAGCTCCTGCCCTTGGAAGGGGCCTGATCGTTCTCGAGGACTTCCTGCCGTAAATATTTGCAGTGGGTGCTGTCACGTCAGAGCGTGGGC